GTTCACTGTGGATGAACCAGCTGTGTATTCGGAAATTAAGGGACACTGCCGGTTCTTAGACACTTATTTCTCAGTATATTTACCTTTCTTGTCAGGAGAGGCTTTCTCTAGTTGCATCTTGTCGTTTCCTTTTTGTGGAGCTGTCATCATTTCTGAAGCTCTGTAAACTTTAAAAATGGCATGGAGGGCTGTAACTTTAAAAATTGACTGAGCTCATAAAAGAAAAGAGTTGGCTTTTCCAAGCCAAAGTAAAGAAGCTGGAAATAATAATAATAATAATAATAATAATAATAATAATAATAATAATAATATACCATCAAACATCCACATCTGCCTATCCCAGGTCCTGGGTAAGGACTCGATAGGTAGACAAAATGCCAAATCCAGTCTGAACATCTGGCTGACTGTGCGATGATCAATAACAACAACAACAACAACAACAACCAACAACAACAACAACAATAATAATAAAGTTGGAAGGGACCTTGGAGGTCATCTAGTCCAACCCTCTGCTCAGGCAGGAAACCCTATCCCATTTCAGACCAATGGCTGTCCAGTCTCTTCTTAAAAATCTCCAGTGTTGGAGCATTCACCGCTTCTGGAGGCAGGTTGTTCCACTGGTTAATTGTTCTCACTGTCAGGAAGTTTTTCCTTAGTTCTAGGTTGCTTCTCTCCTTGATTAGTTTCCATTCGTTGCTTTTGTCCTGCCTCCTGGTGCTTTGGAGAATAGCTTGACTCCCTCTTCTTTGGGGCAGCCCCTGAGATACTGGAACACTGTGGAAACTATTTTTTGAACCTTAAGGACATTAAATCTTTGGAGGACTCCATATGGTTGATTGATTTTGTGGGATCTCTCTGTTCTTTGTTTGCCTTTAAAACAAAGGATTGTTTAAACGAGGCTTTGAGTTTGCTGTGATGGGAGAATGAAACAACACCGAGTTTAATGGCTTTTGATTGGTCCAGACTATGCCTTTTTTTCTTGCTTCTTAAGGCTTTTCCTTGGTCACTAATGTTGTTTGACCACAAGAGGGAGCCAAAGGACTGTGATTTGGGTTAACCATTACCTTTTTTTTTACTCGTTTTGCAAACTCACTGGATTTATAATAATTCAAAGTTATAATTTATAATTTTGAAGTACTTAACTTCAAATTTTAAGCTTTATCTACACATTAAAAATGGCAACCAGCAAGAGAATGGAGAAGATGAGAGATTATCAGGAGATTTAGCACTCTTAAAACCAGTTTTGGATGAATATACAGCCAAAACACATGAGTTAATTCAGATCTTGGGAAGAAGCATCGAGGCTGAATTTGATGCTTTAGCAAAAGAGCTGCGTGGTGAAATACAACATTTGACTGGAGAAAATAAGAAGGTTGAAGTGAGAATTGACCTTATGGAACATGAAATGGAAAAAGTGAATAATTTGCTGGAAGCTGATTTGGACCAAAATGCAATTTTGGAATGTCAGATAAAACAGTCCCAATTAAGATTTTGAGCTAATAAGGAATCTTCAAAGCTTCCTATGACTTTTTTTTAAAAAAATATTTAATGTGTAAAATACAAAGAAAAATGGAAATAGGAAATTAAGGGAAGGAAAAGCAGAGGGGCGGAGTAGATGTGAGGCACAAGGGAAAAAAGGAAAAAAAAGGCAGTACAAGATAAAAACACTCCAGCCTCAACTTTTTGCTTTTACACATTAATATATAACTAGCCATTTCTAAAATGACAAATCTATCTAATCAACAAAACCAAAATTTCATCTTTATTAACCCAGGCACATAATCCAGAAGTGATATCCAAAGGAAAAACATGCTCAAATATATTCTCCTTTTTGAATAGAATGATCAATTTAACCATTCCTGTTTTATCTTCCTTGCTGTGGAATAGTATATTTCTTTTTTTTTAAAGAAAATTTTATTAATTTTCTAGTTTTACATTTAAATAGCAATGTGGCGGCTGAATTAATCGATAATTCAATAACATACAAGAATTTTTAGTACAGATCTCAAACTATTACATTAAATATTTCCTCTCTTTTCCCCTTGGTATTTACGGTCTCATATTTAAACTAATACAATTCTTATTATATTGATTAAATAAAAATAACTTTCTTACATTTATCAATAATTTTTAGTTTATCCATATCCTAGTTATTTTAACATTCAATCTTTATAGACAATCAATGTCCTAATTAGTTTTTCCCAATTTTTAGTTTCCCATTAATATTTAAATTTAACATTTAATATTATAATTTTCAAGTTTTAAATAACCCCCTTATCACAATTCATCACAAGATCTAATGTTCAGGATACACATCTTATCTATTTGAATATATTCTATTTCTCACTCTTACACCAACTAATTAATACAGTATAACATTCTTATTTTCTGTTAATTTCCAAATATCTTAAATTTAGTAACCAAAATTTCTCTTATTTCAACATTTAATACTTCATCTCTTTTTCTCTTGATATCTACTTTCTCATATTTAAGCTAATAGTTTTTATTATAACAGCTAAGTAAAAACATATTTATTACATTCATTAATGGATTTTTAGCTTATCTATATCTTAATTACTTTTACATTTAATCTTTATAAGCAAATCAATATTCAAATTTAACTGTTAATATTTATACTTCCAAGTTTTAAATGACCAAAGTTTTCTTTATCTCAGCCCATAACAAAATCTAGTATTCAAAATACACATCTTATCTATTTGAGTATGTTCTATTTTAATTCTCACTGATAAGTCAAAACCCCAATTTTCTTTAGTCTTATTCTAGCTTTCTTTCTTTGCCAACTCGTCTTCCAAGTTCGTGCTTTTAAGTCATCAAATGAACCTTCCTTTGTTGTTATGTATATTGTTTGAAGTAAAAAAAGCCATCCGGTTGCCATTTTTTGAAAAGACTAACAAATCATCTCTATTTTTCCATCTCGATGTAGTTGTCCTGAACTGTTTATCTTCTCTTCAGTCTGTTCTTCTTTTTGATTCTCAAGTTTCTTCTGGTTTATATAGAAGGTCTTTTCCATGTTGTTAGTCCCTTTTCTGGGTTTTCCATTAACTGTGTTTGTTGATCAGTTGAATCTTCTGTCATAGTATTTAATTGTTCCACTTCTTCTATCATATTCTGTGTAGTTGATTTTTTTAGTTGTAATCAAAGTTTGGGTTTGTAAAGCTAGGTTGACATCTTGTTCTTTTCTGTAACTTCTTATTTATCCGTAGCTGTAAGAATAGTTTCATAAATTGCTTTCAACATAAAGAGAATCTGTTCCTAATCTTCATCCATGTTTTCTTGTAGTGTGTTAAGTTAAAAGCTTTACAATCAGAGAATAAAAAATTTTTTTGTCACTGAGTGGGCTTTTCGCAGCTGATATCTGTCAAAGTTACAAAGTTACAAAAAGTCTTATCTATAGTCTGGGCTCCAAGCCAAGTCTCTTTTAAGCAATAACAAGTTGTAATATCAGGTTTAGCCACAAGATGTTGCCCATACCATTTAGAGTTTTCTTTTAAGTCCAAAATTGTTATAATCTTTTCAATTTTACTTTTTGGTAAGTAAAAACCCAGATCTTCAATAAGAATAAAAAATCTTTTAGTTCACAAATTTTAAAAAGATAAAAATCCAATTAGAATCAAGTTATTCTTGCAATGTTGTAAATTCCCCTGAATAGTCAGCCGCTGCTGTTTTTAGAGGGTGGTCGGCCTGCTCCATCTCTGCCACTTGCCAGCTATGCCTCGGCCGGCGCAGGGGGTGGCATCACGCATGCGTGGTGCTCCCGGGCAGGGAAAGTCCTTGACTTACAACTGGTTGGGTAGTCCTCGACTTAAGACCGGTTTAGTCCTCAACTTACTACCAGTTGGGGGTCGCGGCATTAAAAAGGTTGAGAACCACTGCTTTAGTTATAGGTGATTGCTTATATGAAAAGAGCACAGTAAGGGGAGGGGGGAAAGGAGTTACGGATGGAGCCTGGGTTGCTGTGTATGAGTCATCCTCTAGGAATTATTTTTTTGTGCCATCTTATGCCTGGTACCAAGACCCATGGCACGACACACTGGATGTCCAGGAGGCTTCCCTCCTCATGATGCTTTTGGAAGTCCTTCAAGTTCTACCCTTCTCCAAGGCATTGGACAAGGGTGGCTGGAGTCCCTTCCGCAACCACGACACTGTTGTGAACAAGATTTGCCAACTGTTATTTTGACGTCTATGGAGATTCTCAGTCATCCAGGTCCGGGTTGTCCCAAATGTGCTTTTTCAGGATGCAACTGGACTTTCTTGTTTTTCTTCCAAGATGCTTTGCTTCTCATCCAAGAAGCTTCTTCAGTTCTGAATGGATGGTGGGGAATGGAAAGATATATGTTTATATGTTATTTTTACATGCTACATATTTGTAATGCATTATTTGTTGTTTTCTGTCTATTCTGTGTGGTATCCAGAGTTGAACAGAGCCAGGATATTCCTAAATCCAATTAAATGATTATTTTTGAGAGAAATTCCCACTTAGCCCCAACACACAGCTAGGTGATCTCTGGTGTCCCCTCCAACATTCACACTGTAGAACTGAGGAGAGCGTGAGAGAAGCCTTCAGTGCCAGCTGTTGAATCGAGATCCGTCTTCTCTCAGGTGGGGGTGATGGAGAAGGGGCCTGCCATCCTTCACCCCAAATCCCCCTCCTCTATTTCAAGGCCTCTTCCTCTTCCTCTCATCCTGCCCCAGAGAGAAGAAAGGGAGGGAAAGAGCCATGTTGGACTTGGAGGTTTCACTGAGAAAAGACTCCATTCTGGGTTTCTCCCCTTGCTTTACCCTGTCTGAATGTAGGGTTACTACCCAGTGAGCCAAGCCAAGCCATGATTCAACAGGGATTGGACCTAATCCTGTTCTTCCCAGCATCACTGCCTGATGGATCCTGGAGGGAGACTCTCTAATGGTGGGTGTTGTGAGAGGGATGTTCAGCTTTGAGCGGGAAACTCAAAAAAATTAAAACACTTGAACTGAATGCTGAGATTTATTGGATTCTCAAGCTACAGAACCCACAGAAAGAAGCTTGCGGGAAAGAGAAAAGGGAAAGAGGGCGAGGGGTCAAAGAAAGCAGAGGAGGGGGGATTATGGGCCATCCTGTTGTCAAGGCAGAAGCGTAAATCTTCAAGGAAGATCCATGTTGAATGAGATCAAAACTCAAAGAAATTAGCCACTTTTGGAACTCTTAGTTGCAGTTGTCTGTTGCACAACAGAAAATGTACTCATCGGCATCCCAAGTAGTACGACACATTGCAGCACATCCCCTGGTGATCCTCAGATCTGTGAAGGAAACACAAAGCAGAATGACTATTAAAAAACAGATCTGGGGCTGTGGCTGAACAAAATGGTAAAGCCACTTTTAACACATCGGTGGATTCCCCTCCCAGTAGGAAGGCAAACCTCCTTCCTCCTCTAGGGAATACTCAGGAGTAAATAAATAAAAAAAGATATCTCTGGGGGAAAGTCCCGTGTTCTGACATGACTCGGGGGCAATGCCCTCCCTCCTGGATATTTAATGTGCGAGATCTAAGTTCCCTCAATTTCAGAACAACCCCCCAGTCCTGCCCCTTTCCCTCCACCCCTTTCTCTAAAGAAAGCCTCCCCCTCAATCTGGGTTACTCCTGGGGCAGATGGGGCTCCCCACTCCAAGCCCCCCTTTCCTTGCCTCCCTTAGACTGTCCAGCCACAGGCCGTGACCTCAGCGGAACCCGGGCAGAGCACAGAAAGCTTCTACACGACCTCCAACCCTCAGGTGCATTTGGGAGTTCTAGTTTGGGTTCAAGAAGAAAAGCGGTGAGAAAAGATAAGGACTGTGCTTACTGAGTGTATCACTATAATCCACCCTTACATAGCAGACGTTCTGTCCTTCTGCACAATTCTTAACGTCATCACAACGCAATCCAATGCATGAGCGACATCTCAGGGTATATCCTGGAGGAAAGAAATAAAATATAGAAATCTTACTGAGATATTTATTTATCTAATCTTGTAATCCTGTTATATGTTAGACGATGGATCATTTAATAGAAAGGTTGGCTGTGAAAATTTCCCTGGAAAGATCCTATGATCTAAAAATAAGAAACCTGAGTTCTAGTCTCAATTTAGGCATCAGAGCCAGCTGGGTGACTTTGGACCATTCTCTCTCTCTCTCTCTCTCTCCATCCTACCTCAGAGGATTGTTGCTGTGGGAAAAATAGGGGGAAAGCGTAATAAGTTTCTTTGCTTGCTTGGGTGATTACAAAACCAAACAGCAATAGCACGTAGACTTTTATACTGCTTCACAGCGCTTTACAGCCCTTTCTAAGCAGTTTACAGAGTCAGCATATTGCCCCTCAAAATCTAGGTCCTCTTTTAACTGACCTCAGAAGGATGGAAGGCTGAGTCCACCTTGAGCTGGTCAGGATCGAACTGCTGGCAGTCAGCAGTAAGCAGAATTCGCCTGCAATACTGCATTCTTACCACTGCGCCACCACAGGTGGGATAAAAGCTGAGATTAAAAAAAATCTTCTCTTCTGAAACAGACTATCAAATATAAGCAACTGGAAACCTCAGTGGCTGGTCTCTGTGTGGAAGCTAAGCAGGGTTTGCGTTGGTCAAACCTAGGATGGTTGTATGATAGATTGAGGAGTCTCAAACATCCCAGCGACAGCAACCAATCTCAGGTTGGTGTCAAGGAAACTTCAAGCTTGACTTGAAGGAGGCATCACGGATCCCTTTTGGTTGTACCATCCAAACCCTGAGCGATAGCAAAGCTAGAGGGAGACAGATGGTGGGGTAAGAAAAGGAAACATTTTTCATCTCACTCCCAGGAGTAATTCCATGGCAGAATTCACTACGCAAAGGAACCTCTCCTTTCAGAGGCAGTCTACCCCAGAGGGCCAGCCTGGAACAGCTATGGGCTTCTTTCCAAATGGAGGATTCCATTTTCTACCCCTGACGGCTCCATGGACCCTCCTTATGCAGAGCAAAACAGTGAGAAGTTCCAACAACAGAATGGAGAACTACCATACCTCCGTCTGCCCCCTTGTTTCTGGTTTAATTGCCACCCAAGATCTAACCTTGGTGGCCCTACCTGAGTCCAGGTACATGAATGCCACCACCATCAGGGTCAACAGCAGAGTTTTCATCTTGCAATCTTGTCTTCAGCCTGCAGAGTGTAGTCCAGGAGGGCAGCAGGCAGTTATTTATACCCCTCTGAGATGTTGTACTTGAGGGGTGGATATCTAGGATTAAGAGAGAAGTGATAGGCAGGTTCTCAGGTCTTGCTTGGTTAAAAAAAAATACAGGAAACCAGAAGCTGCCAAAATTGGAAGGGGAAAATATCAGACCTCAAGGCATGACACACTGGATGTCCAGGTGGCTTCCCTCCTCATGGAGCTTTGGAGGTCCTTCCAGTTCTACCTTTCTCCCTTGCATTGGGCAAGGGAGCCCCTTATGCAACTGCAACACTGTTGTGAACAAGACTTGCCAAATGTTATTTTTACATGCTACATATTTGTAATGCATATTTGTTTTCTTTCTATGCTCTGTGGTGCCCAGAGTTGAACAGAGCCAGGATATTCCTAAATCCAATTAAATGATTATTTTTGAGAGAAATTCCCACTTAGCCCCAACACCCAGCTAGGTGATCTCTGGTGTCCCCTCCAACATTCACACTGTAGAACTGAGGAGAGCTTGAGAGAAGCCTTCAGTGCCAGCTGTTGTGAGGTGGGCAGGAAAAAGTTCAATATATCTATATCTTAATAGGAATGCTTGTTGCTGACAATAGTTAATAGATAATATTAAGCTTGGCTGTGAAATGTAACCTAAATCATATAACCTGTGTGTCATAATTGTAGAGATGTTGTCAGAATCCAATTATATTTCATCTTTAATTATCAAATATAGAAACTCCCAATTCTGCCTTCTCTGGATTCTGCCATAAGAGGGAGAGAAGGGGGAGAACAAAGGGGCTTTATGGCCCTCACTTCCTTCAGTACACTTCAAAGAGCTGAATGCTGAATGTGTGTTTATTGTAACCTCAAAGTGTTAGCATACCAAAGAAGGGTATTTGCCTTTCATGTAGTTATCTGAAGTCTCCATCCAGACGGAAGAAAGAAGAAAGGGGGTGGAATTGTGATACTTGAAACTATCACTGGAAGGGGGGTTGATTGGGTGGGACTACTGGGGAACCCCTTAAAACCTTGAATGGGAGAGCTTGAACCCCAAGTCCTGTCTAGCATGCCTGCAACCATTTTCTCTTAATAAAGGATTCCTGTTGGAAGAATTATTCCAAGAGTTCTGTCTTCTTAAGATGCAAAGTGGGGTGGGTCCTTACATTAGACAGGACTTGCAAAATTAATCCACCTGGAAGGGAGACCCTTGCCGGGGGATTTTGCAAAAATTTACCATGTCAGACAATGGAGCAAGAGAGGGGGAAAACTCCCTGGAAACAGAGCCGCTGACCCAGTTGGAACCTTGCCAGATGTTGGGATCCGAGAGGCCAGATTCCTCAGGAGAAGAAGTGGTGGAGACACAGGACCACAAGCCTTGCTGGTCGATGGGTGTTGGAAAGAAAAGTGAGTGGGGAAAGGAATCAAGAAAGGTGACCCTGAGACGGGGGACCAAGCAACCAGAATGGAAGCAGGAGATGGAGAAATCCCTGCACGCAAGTGAAGAGGGAGGAAGCTGGGCACCGTACTCAGACTGGATCCTAGAGAAAGCTATTGACCTGATGAAGAGAACTCTCAGCTCCCTAGGAGAGGAGAATACTGAACCCTACGGCCGCCCCAGTTCCTGGAGCCGCAAAGGGAGAGACACCGAGGGGGACGTGGAACCTGCAACCCCAGGGACATCTACTGATCCAGGAGCCCCCACCCCCTACCGGACCACAGATGGCAATCTGGATGGAAGGCACTACCACCCACAACAGAGGCACCGATCCATTCCAAGACGTCCACCGTTGGAAGTGAAATTCAAAGGGGAGCCAACACGCTTGGGTTTTTTCCTAACCCAAGTCCTCAGCTACATGGAGGAATATGGGCAGGATATTCCCAGCGACAAAGCCCGCATCCGGATCGTGCAATCTGCCCTGGATGGACCAGCTGCGGATTGGGTAGTGAACTTGCATGACTCCAATGCCCCAGAACTCAGTAACTTCAACCGTTTCATGTCCTCTTTGAGAAGACGATTTGAAGACCCCCTGGCTGATCGCAAAGCCCGTGAAAGAATAACAACGATGAGGCAAGGCAAACGCCCAGTGGCTGAGTATACACAAGAATTCCGGGCCATTGCCAGCAAACTGAATTGGCCAGAAGACATCCTCCTTGGCCATTTCAAAGACGATAAACTATGATCTATATGATGCTTGCCTGCCCCGAGGGGACCCACATCGACTTGAGGAATGGTACGTCTTGGCAGAGGAAGCAGAGATCGACATATTGAAGAGGCACCGCCGAAGAAAACAATGGAGCCGCCCCCCGCCTGAGCTGACACACCAACCGGTGAAATCATCGGATACAGCCAAGAAGCAAATGGGGTGTTTCAAGTGCGGAAGAGAAGGGCATCGAGCTGTAGAATGCCGCTCAAAGGCCCCCCAGCACAACCCAGACAGATCCCCAATCAACAAACCCGGAAAGTATTCAGCTAAGCCAAAAGAAACAGCCATGAGAATGATGGAAATTGCAGAACCCCCCACTTCTGCTCACCAAGGGGAAAGAACTCCAGCCTACACCACAGGGCCGGTGGATGCCTCAGATGACAGCTCGGAGGGCGAACCCCTGGTAAGTGGATGCATCACACCCATCTTCAAAACAGTGACTATATTAATCCCCCCCATGCCCGAAGCTGTGAAGGTGAAAGCCTTAATAGACTCTGGCTGCACCCGCTGCCTCATTAGCCCAACACTAGTGGGGAATCTGGGCATCCCATCCAGGAGACTGGAACAACCAATCTCATTTGGCCAGTTAGATGGATCCATAGCAGGGGGGGTGCCAGCTACCCTAGCCACTCACCAATACACCTCTCCCTGGGCAAACATGAAGAGGACATAACGTTTGTGGTGACCCCAGGCATGGAATGCCCAATGATTCTAGGGATGGAATGGTTGAAAAAAATGGAACCCCTGGGTAAATTGGAGGACGACAGAAATCAAATTCCCGAAGGGGGACCCTATGGACTTAAAACCCCAAGGAGGCTACCAGAATCAAGAATAGAAAAAGCATCCATAGGAGAGGAAAAAGATTAACAGAAATACCAGAGGAATATAGGGACCTTGCTGAATTCTCAGTGAGGAGAGGGCGAATGAGCTTCCCCCCCACAGACCCACAGACTGTACCATTGAATTCAAGCCTGGGGCAAAACTCCCGAAGCCCAGATTATACTCCATGAGCCCAAAGGAGAAGGAGGAAATGGAAAGATTTATTAAAAAAAACCTGGAGAGAGGTTTCATTGAGCCAGCCAAGCCTAAAGTGGCTGCCCGGTCCTTTTTAGAGAGAAGAAGGATGGCTCTTTACGTTTATGCGTGGATTATAGGGCCCTGAATACAATCAGTGAAAGCAACCTATACCCGCTGCCCCTCATGAAAGACATGCTGTCACACCTATCGAAAGGGAAAATTTTTTCTAAACTAGACTTAAGGGAAGCTTACTATCGAGTGAGAATCAAGGAAGGGGACGAATGGAAGACTGCATTTAACTGCCCCATGGGGTGCTATCAATTCAAAGTCTTGCCATTTGGATTACAAGGGGGCCCTGCAGTCTTTATGCAATTAATCAATGACGTTCTAAGGGAGCACCTGTTTAAGGGGTCCTTGTTTACTTGGACGACATTCTTATCTTTACCGAAACAAAAGAAGAACACGTCAAACTTGTCAGAGCGGTTTTAAAGAAGCTGCGAGCCGCTCACCTATATGCCAAACTCTCAAAATGCGAATTCCACCAGGAAAGGATAGACTACCTAGGCTATCGCATATCCCCACAGGGCATTGAAATGGACCCAGAGAAGGTCAGAGCAGTATTAGAATGGGCACCACCCCGCACAAGAAAACAACTACAAAGTTTCCTGGGCTTTGCAAATTTTTACCGCCCATTCATCCCCTCATTTGCACAGATAGCCTTGCCCCTCACCAACTTACTAAAAACGAAGGGAACATCCTCAGTAAAACCTAGCCAGCCACTAACATGGACAATGGAGTGCCAAGCAGAGTTTGAGAGACTAAAGAGACTTTTTTCTGCCGAACCAGTACTAAGGCACCCAGACATGGACAAGCCCTTCATAATACAGGCAGATGCAAGTGATTTGGCAGTGGGGGCTGTGCTATTACAAGAAAATGATGATGCAGTATTGCAACCCTGTGCAATACATCCAAGAAACTCACGGAAACCAGAACAGAGTGGCCCGTATGGGAGAAAGGAGGCTTATGGGATACGTGGGCATTATCAAGTGGGGAAAGTTCCTGGAAGGCAACAAAATCCCCTTCCAGGTGTGGACTGATCACAAAAATTTAGAAGACCTGAAAACTTCCAGGAAACTCAATCCCAAACAAGTCCGCTGGTCCCAGCATTTTCACCAATTCCAATTTAAGCTCAAACATTTACCAGGAAGAAAGAACTTCCTGGCAGATGCATTATCTCGCATGCCCCAATATAACAGCGCACGAACCACAGACTCTAGACCAATAATGGCAGAGTCACAACTGGCAGCACCAGTAACCACAAGAACCAAGCCAAATTAAAACCACAACTGGACAGCCAAACTGGAATTGAATTCAGAAAAAGTTTGGAAACAGATGAATGGTTCCAGAAAAACAAAAATGTGTGCACAATGAGAGATGGGTTGCTAGGATACAGGAAAAGGTTATATATCCAACAAATCAAAGAGTAACTTTCATGAACTCTTGCCATGACCACAAAAATCAGCAGGGCATTTTGGATTTGTAAAAACTTTACACTTAATTAAATGGCAATTTTGGTGGCCATCCATGAAAAAGGACATAGAAGTTATGTTGCCAGCTGCCTAACATGTGCATCTGCAAAGAGGTTGCAAGGGAAATCGCCAGGGCTATTACAACCAGTGGCAAATCCCTCAGCCCCCTGGAGAGAAATAGCCATGGATTTTATAGTGGAATTGCCAGAAAGCAATGGGAATACTGTTATCTGGACAGTCACGGACTTGTTTTCCAAACAGGTGCACTTTATCCATTGCCAAAAGATTCCCACTGCAAAGGCCTTAGCAAGACTTTTCATCCAGCACATTTACAGATTGCACGGGGCACCCCAACGCATCATCTCTGATAGGGGAGTGCAATTTACGTCTGCGTTTTGGAAGGAATTTTTATCCCTCTTAGGGACCACTCAGGGACTGACATCTAGCCATCACCCTCAGACAGATGGACAAACGGAATGGTGCCATTCAGTACTTGAGCAATATTTGAGATGCTTTTTAAATTTCCAACAGAGTGATTGGACGGACTTACTTCCTTTTGCAGAAGTTGCCTACAATAATGCAGTCCACTCCAGCACAGGTTACACTCCTTTTCAAATAGCCACCGGTCAAAGTTTCCACCCCATGCCAGAATTAACCCCAAACGAACCAACGATCCCCTCGCTGAAAGAATGGATGGAGAAATTACAAAACACCTGGCCAATAGTCAGAAAAGCGGATGGAAAAATTACAAAACACCTGGCCAATAGTCAGAAAAGCACTAGATGAAGCTAGGCAGGCATACAAAACACAAGCCGATAAAAAAAGGGTTGAGCCTACACCATTCATTATAGGAGAAATGGTGTACTTATCTACAAAATACCTAAAGTCCCTACAGCCCTGTAAAAAACTTGGACCAAAATATATAGGACCTTTTCCAATTAAAAGAATCATAAATCCAGTAACAGTAGAATTAGAATTACCCAAAAATCTCAGGCAAATACACCCAATTTTTCATTGCAGCTTGCTGAAAAGAGAGCATCAATCACCTCTACGGCCAAAAATCCCCCCCCACCTCCAATCATGGTGGAGGGCAAACAACACTTCGAAATAAAAGAGATCCTTGACTCTAGGAGATATCATGGAGCAACTCAGTACCTAGTTGCCTGGAAACACCTACCTCCCTCACAAAACGAGTGGGTCCATAAACGTCATGTCAGAGCCCCGAAGCTATTGAAGAAGTTTCACACAGAGTATCCTAACAAGCCTGACTAAGTCTTATACCTGTTTTGTTTTCTTTCAGGTGAATCTCTCTTATTTTTAAGAGGGGCCGGATGTCAGAATCCAATTATATTTCATCTTTAATTATCAAATATAGAAACTCCCAATTCTGCCTTCTCTGGATTCTGCCATAAGAGGGAGAGAAGGGGGAGAACAAAGGGGCTTTATGGCCCTCACTTCCTTCAGTACACTTCAAAGAGCTGAATGCTGAATGTGTGTTTATTGTAACCTCAAAGCGTTAGCATACCAAAGAAGGGTATTTGCCTTTCATGTAGTTATCTAAAGTCTCCATCCAGACGGAAGAAAGAAGAAAGGGGGCGGAATTGTGGTACTTGAAACTATCACTGGAAGGGGGGTTGATTGGGTGGGACTACTGGGGAACCCCTTAAAACCTTGAATGGGAGAGCTTGAACCCCAAGTCCTGTCTAGCATGCCTGCAACCATTTTCTCTTAATAAAGGATTCCTGTTGGAAGAATTATTCCAAGAGTTCTGTCTTCTTAAGATGCAAAGTGGGGTGGGTCCTTACAGATGTGTTCATGCTATGTAGAAACCATTTTACAAGAAGTGTCAGTGTCAAGTAAAAGTCACAGATGTTGTAAGATAGCACCCGTGCAGAAAGGTGTGGTAAGACAACCGTTTGTGTGAACTTCTCCTTTTTCCTATGTGTGTTGTCTCAAGATATGAACTTCTCTCTTTTAGTGTGTTAAAGGTAGATAAGAAGTCATCTATTAGGTTAAGCGTGGGCGGCAAGCTGTATAAAAGTGACACCCTCAGAGTAACTCAGTGTTCAGAATTTGTCATGCTAATACTCTGAACCATCGTGCACGAATAAAAACCTGTTTTCTCCAACCCTTCGTGGTCTTGTCTTCTGATGTAAGTATCGTGGTTTTTTCCACAACAATTATCTGGCGACAGCGGCAGGACGGCAAGGAGTCTTGGGGCTCTCTGGAGGGCACACCCTGATGCCAGGGGCCTGTAGTGTTAGGGGGAACATCCCAGGCGCCATCGGACCTTTTACTCCGAGGGACTTCCCTGTGACACAGGGCTCCAGCATTGGCGGTCGGCCACTCCAAGAACCACTGGTGAAGGGTAAGGAGAGCAGGCAACTTTCCAGCCGGCTAGAGGACAAAGGATTCACCTGCAGGCAAGTATTGAAAGGGAAAGAAGGAATCCCTCCCTGTAAGCAGGGACGGAGGAGAGGACTGATCACCCTCTCTTTGGAATAAGGTGGGAGGATTGTTGTGTGTGTTTGCAGTGAGTGAGTGGCGCTCGAACTTCCCATCGGTGACCGTTGAGTTTCCGGATCCCTGGGTCTAGCGCGTATAAGTGAAACCCTCAGTGTAATCCCGAGTGGAAGGACCCCCTTACCTTCCTCTCATCCCTTTTCCTCATTTGTCTTGTCTGGTGCCCTGGGAGGCTTATTGGGTGGTGGTGAAAGTGTACCCCTTACTCCGTTGGGGTGAATGTCAAAGCATTTTAAGTCTGCTTATGAGGATCAGGATTATGGTATTAAGTGGAGCAGGCATAAGTTGAGGATCTTCTGTGAGGTAGATTGGTCCAGCTTTAACATAGGCTGGCCAAGCACAGGGACACTAGATCCATTCATTGCTCTAAAAGTACATTAGTTAGTGTTCAATCCCATGTTAGGGCACCCAGACCAGGCACCCTATATTGATGTGTGGCTTGGCTTGTTGCAAAGACCTCCACCATGGATTCAGAAATGCAAAACTGTCCCCTGTGTTAAAAAGTTTAGAAGATAGAAAAAGCTGGGGACAAGCCATAATCCAACCAGATGTCCAGGATCAAGGGACCCAAACTGGACCTTCAGCAAGAGGTGCTGAGGGGGTCCAAGGCAGAGGAGGAACGGATGGGACTGCAAACAGAAGACAGAGAAGTGGGAGGACTGATAGCTGAACAAACGAGGACAACGACTGAGGAAGCATCTTTGAATGCTCCCCTTAGACAAGTAGATCAATTGGTTGTCAGTAAGGACGATCCAGCAGAAACAGCCACAGCTCCTCTATTCCAACATATGCCTTTTATTACATCAGACCTTCTTGCTTGGAAATTTCATTATGGCCCATTTAGTGAAAAAAACAAATCAAGTGTCCGAAAGACTTTTGTGAATAGAGAGAAGGAGGAGGAAAAGAAAAAGGATCAGAAAATGCAAAGGAAAGCTGAATTGCTTGCAGTTGCTATGATGGGGGTGTCAAGGGGAGGTAGCAGAGGTAGAGGATGGGGAAGGGTGTTAGGACAAAACCAGTGTGCCATATGTAAGAAGGAAGGACACTGGAAGGGTGAATGTCCAGAAAGAGAAAAGGATGAAGAAAAAGGAGGGGGAAGGGGCAGGTTTGCGAAGAGCTACAGAGGTGGCCCAGGGAGAAGCCAGGGAGGGAGAGAAAGAAGAAGAGGATTTTCAAGGACTCCCCTCATAGGCCTGGCAGAAGCAGAGGAGTGGGACTGAGACCGACTGGGTTCAGCCCACCTCCCAGAACCTGTGGTCAGTTTAACAGTAGGAGGCAAACCTATTCCCTTCCTTGTGGATACTGGAGCCACCCGATCAGTCCTAACCCAATCCCTAAGCCAAGCCTCCCCTCACTCTATCAACATACAAGGAGCAACAGGAAAAATATTACAGCGACTTTTTTGGGAGCCACTAAGTTGCACAATAGGGGGAAGAACAATAACCCACCAGTTCGTCTACATGCCCGATTGTCCAATTCCGTTACTAGGACGGGACCTGCTTTGTAAATTAAGGGTGCAGGTCTCATTTGAAGAGGATGGCACAATGGCCATTAATTATGGAAAAGTAACCATGGAAGTTCCCTGTGCAGAGGAATGGAGAATGGTGATGCTGGCACAAGCAGTAGAAGCAAATACAAAGTGGAAAGAGTTCAATATGCCACACTTGTGGGCAGAGGACAACCCCCCCCGGTTTTGCAAAGCATCGTCCACTATCTGCCAGCTGCTGTACCGAAGAATAGGAAAGAGTTAAGAGGATTTTTAGTTGCTGCTGGCTTCTGCCGAATATGGATCCCTACCTTTAGTTTAATAGCAAAATTGCTATATGAGGCCACAAAGGGGGGGAAGATAAAGAACCATTGCGATAGGAACAGCAAGAAAATAACAGCTTCACCTGCTCTCAAGGAGGCTCTAATGTGTGCCCCTAGTTTAGGTCTACTAGACTTGGAAAAGTTATTTCAACTGTTTGTAGATATAAAGCAAAATGTGGCAGTAGAAGTTCTCACCCAGAAAACAGGAACCTGGCATCACCCGGTCACTTATCTGTCTAAACAGCTTGACAATGTAGCCAGAGGATGGCCGGCTTGCCTTAAAGCAAGTGCTGGAACAGCATTATTAACACAGGAAGCTAACAAGTTGACTTTTGGACAAAAGTTAGATATCTACACACCCCATGCTCTTAAAGCTGTCTTAGGAGCAAAAGGACATTTGTGGCTGACCAACCCACGCATGCTGAAGTATCAAGCTCTAATAATACATAATCCAATGATTATATTAATTTAATCAAACTCACTGAATCCAGCCACGCTGCTGCCTGAATCAGACTTGGAAACCACACGTAGTTGCATACAAGCTATTGAAGAAAGTTACGCTAGCTGCCCAGACATGAGAGATGTCCCCCTGCTTGATCCAGACTTTACAATATACACGGGTAGAACTAGTTTTATGCAAGAAGACATTCGAAAGGCAGGATGTGCTGTGGTGATTTTGGAGGAAGTATGGAAAGCTGAGCCACTTCCGCCCGGTACAAATGCTCAGCTAGCTGACCTGCATGCATTAACTAGAGCTTTGGAGTTGGCAAAAGGAAAGTGCATTAATATTTACACAGACTCTAAGTATGCATTCCTAACAGTGCAAGTCCATGGAGCCTTATACAAAGTAAGAGGACTTATAACTTCAGGGGGAAAGGATGTTAAATATGGACCACAGATATTGCGTCTGCTGAATAGTGTGTGGGAGCCTAAGGAAGTAGCTGTAATGCATTGCAAAGGCCATCGGAAGGGAGCATCAGATATTCAATTAGGAAATAATAAGGCAGACTGGGAAGCTCGTATGGCTGCACAAAAGACACCTTCTGAGCATACAAATTGTCTAGCTTTGTGGACCCCTGAGGAACAGGAACAGGGTAAACCCAGACCAGCGAGTCTTTATCCCAGGATATATGGCATGGGATGCAGTGCAACAGGTTCATAAGCAACTGCACCTGGGAAGGGCGGCACTGGCAAATGCCCTGAAGAGAGAGGTCTATATTGACAAAATACACAGTATTGCAGCCAATGTTTGTGCTAGATGTGAGATCTGTTCCACCAACAACCCAAGGCAAGGACCCCAACTGCCTCAAGAACATCAGCCCAGAGGAAATTATCCCTTCGATTTCTTGATGATTGATTTTACTGACATGCCATGCTCAGGTCCCTATAAAGCAATGCTAGTCATAGTATGTACATACACTAGATGGCTAGATTGCATCCCTACAAAGAAGAAGAAGAAGAAGAAGAAGAAGAAGAAGAAGAAGAAGAAGAAGAAGAAGAAGAAGAAGAAGAAGAAGAAGAAGAAGAAGAAGAAGAAGAAGAAGAAGAAGAAGAAGAAGAAGAAGAGGAAGAAGAAGAAGAAGAAAAGCAACTGAGGTCGCAAAAGCCTTGCTTCATATTATTATTCCCAGGTATGGGTTGCCATCTAGAATCTCTTCAGATAATGCTCCTGAATTTATCTATAGAGCCACCAAAAAGATAGCAGCTATGCTAGGAATAACATGGAAGCTTGACTGTAGTTTCCATGCTCAATCAGGAGGAAGGTTGGAGAGAATACATAGACCATTAAGGAAAAATTGGCAAAAATATGTCAGGAGACTCAGCTTAAGTGGCCAGATGCTTTAAATATGGCCCTGGTTGTGGTAAGGTGTGCCCCACAAAGGGGGCTGCTCATGTCTCCCTTTGAATTATTGTATGGCAGAGTCCCCAACTTACTCAAACCAGGTGTCCAGAACTCTGAACAAGTGGCAGATACTGTTAAATTAGAACAGCTGCAGGCTCTTAACACTATAGTCCAGTGGCTACACCAATATGTTCTAACCCAAAGACCCCATGTCTTGGTTACACTAACACATAATATACCACCGGGACAGGAGGTCTGGGTAAAGGATTGGAAGAGGGAAGTCTTAAGCCCAAAGTGGAAAGGGCTGTATACTGTGGTTATGTGTTCTCCCCTTGCTATTAAGGTGGCTGAGATCAGCTCGTGGATCCATTGGTCCAGGGTTAAATTGGCAGCCCCCACCCAATGGAAAGTGAATAGTGACCCAGCTCAACCCTTTAAACTCACCCTGCATCGTAGGAGAAGGAGCCTCTCCGCTTCTGGTGACACCCCGGAAGCTGCACCCCTGCGAACGGAAGAGGTGAAGCAAACCCCTGCAGGTGTTACTCCGGAAGCTAACACCCATCGCACGGGCAACAAACTGCGTTCACATCATTAGTCTTAAAAGTCTTTTTAATTGGTTATGGATTCCACCCAGAGAATGAGGGAAACTGCCTGTATTAGGAAAGGGCTCATCCCAACAATTTGGGTGGTGGTAATGTTGTTGTTATTCACTGTTATAATTAACTCTCTGTTTCTGTATAGAGGGATCACAGTCAAAGAGAAGGGGGTTGAGGGTGTGCCTGAGGACTGGCTAATTGAACCCGATGATCTGAATATCAGTAAGGCTGTCACCCCATCCCCCACTTTAAGTTCTCCAGAACCTGTATCAACCTCTGTGGGACAGGGTCTTTCCACAAGGGAGGGAGATCATAAGGGAGTAAGTGGTGATGAATATCTCTTGGGGGACCCACGACCTTACCCTTCAGACCACGTCCCTCCTTGTGATGAATGTTTTGTAGACCTTCCTACAGGGAGACACTTTGTTTATATGGCTTTGGAATTGAAGGGACTGGTGAAGACCCTAAGACCTACCTCACGGTCCAAGTAGAACGAATCTATGATGGGCAAATTAGGTCTTTAGGCTGGTCTGTATATGATAATCTGAAGAAACTGGAAGATGACCCCCTCCCTATGAGTACAACAGCTACTAATTTGTTTGTTGAAATGGCTGAGGAGGTGGCAAAAACACTCACTGTAAAGAATTGTTTTGTATGTGGTGGTACCAACATGGGGGAGCAATGGCCATGGGAAGCATTAGAGGCCACCCCTGAAATTTATAACATATTTAATGCTGGAAACGTGACAGCTCGAACTCGCTTCTCAGGAGCTGTGTGGACTTTGGCTACTAACCTGGTTGGGAGGACCTGTTTCTTCAGAAACCATACTGTGCCGGTAGGACATCTAATCTGTTTGGGATATTGGGATCAGGACTATGTAAAATGGGTCTCTCCTGGTCAAAGCCCAGAGCCCACTGAATTTGAGGGAACTCTGCTCCCCTATCTTAAAGGCTCTCAATATATTGTCTGATACTACTGATAAGATTCGAAGAGCAGTATATCAGAATAAGTTGGCCCTAGATTACATCTTGGCAAAGGAAGGAGGTGTTTGTGGTAAGTTCAACCTTTCCAATTGTTGTTTGCAAATTGATGAGACAGGAAAAGCCATTAAGCAGTTGACCACTGAAATGAGGCAACTTACCCATAATGCTGACCAAGAATGGAAAGGTTTTGACTTTACCCAAGTGTTTACATCTTGGTTTCCAAAGCTGCCTGGTTTGCAAGCCATCGTGGCCCTTGTGGGAATCATTGCCCTTGGTTGTCTAATTCTACCTTGTATTTTACCTATTGTTACTTGCACCATTTCCAAGAGCCTCTCTATGCTCGTTGAGAAAGGAGCCATAGCCCAGGTCATGGCCCTTGTAGAGGAAGGGGAATATGCTACCTTATGTTATCCTCCAAGGTATGAAACTCCTCAATAATCTCATGATTTTAGTGAAGTTTCAAGGGGGAGGAAATGAGGTGGGCAGGAAAAAGTTCAATATATCTATATCTTAATAGGAATGCTTGTTGCTGACAATAGTTGTTAGATAATATTAAGCTTGGCTGTGAAATGTAACCTAAATCATATAACCTGTGTGTCACAATTGTAGAGATGTGTTCATGCTATGTAGAAACCATTTTACAAGAAGTGTCAGTGTCAACTAAAAGTCACAGATGTTGTAAGATAGCACCCGTGCAGAAAGGTGTGGTAAGACAACCGTTTGTGTGAACTTCTCCTTTTTCCTATGTGTGTTGTCTCAAGATATGAACTTCTCTCTTTTAGTGTGTTAAAGGTAGATAAGAAGTCATCTTATTAGGTTAAGCGTGGGCGGCAAGCTGTATAAAAGTGACACCCTCAGAGTAACTCAGGGTTCAGAATTTGTCATGTGAATGCTCTGAACCATTGTGCACAAATAAAGCCTGTTTTCTCCAACCCTTCGTGGTCTTGTCTTCTGATGTAAGTATCGTGGTTTTTTCCACAACAGTTGAATCGAGATCCGTCTTCTCTCAGGTGGGGGTGATGGAGAAGGGGCCTGCCATCCTTCACCCCAAATCCCCCTCCTCTATTTCAAGGCCTCTTCCTCTCATCCTGCCCCAGAAAGAAGAAAGGGAGGGAAAGAGCCATGTTGGACTTGGAGGTTTCACTGAGAAAAGACTCCATTCTGGGTTTCTCCCCTTGCTTTACCCTGTCTGAATGTAGGGTTACTACCCAGTGAGCCAAGCCAAGCCATGATTCAACAGGGATTAAACCTAATCCTGCTCTTCCCAGCATCACTGCCTGATGGATGCTGGAGGGAGACTCTCTAACTGTGGGTGTTGTGAGAAGGATGTTCAGTTTTGAGCAGGAAACTCGAAAAATTAAAACACTTGAATTGAATGCTGAGGTTTATTGGATTCTCAAACTACAGAACCCGCAGAAAGAAGCTTGCGGAACAAGAGAAAAGGGAAAGAGGGCGAGGGGTCAAAGAAAGCAGGGGAGGGGGGATTATGGGCCATCCTGTTGTCAAGGCAGAAGCGTAAATCTTCAAGGAAGGTCCATGATGGATGAGATCCAAACTCAAAGAAATTAGCCACTTTTGGAACTCTTAGTTGCAGTTGTCTGTTTCACAACAGAAAACGTTCTCTTTGCCAACCGGATTAGGGCAAGCTGCGGCACATCCCCTGACGTACCTCCTTCCTGTGAAGGAAACACAAAGCAGAATAATTATTAAAAATGCCAAAGAACAGATCTGGGGCTGTGGCTGAACAAAATGGTAAAGCCACTTTTAACACATCGGTGGATTCCCCTCCCAGTGGGAAGGCAAACCTCCTTCCTCCTCTAGGGAATACTCAGGAGTAAATAAATAAAAAAAGATATCTCTGGGAGAAAGTCCTGGGTTCTGACATGACTCGGGGGCAATGCCCTCCCTCCTGGATATTTCATGGCTTAATCCAATTTCCGTCAATGTCAGAATAAACCCGCAGCTCTCCCAGCCATTCTCTCCCCCTTTCTCTAAAGAAGGTTCCCCCTCCAATCTGTGCTGTTGTTGGGATGGAAGGGGGCTCCCCATTTGAAGCCCGCTCTTCCCTTGCACTCCTTAGACCAGTGGTTCTCAACCTGTGGGTCGGGATCCCATTTGGGGTCGAACGACCATTTCACGGGGGTCGCCAAACAACGCAGTCCGCCATTTTTTCCCCCGTTTCCTTAGCTGTGCTACTCCCTTTTATTCTATTGGCTTTTGAAAGCCAATAGAAGAGACTCTCTTGAATAGAGTCTAATTCCATTGGCTTTCAAAAGCCAATAGGAATTGTCCAGGGTGTCTCTGCCCTGCTGAGCCCGCCAAAAGTCCCATTCTGCAAACGGTGCTGCACCCGTTGAGTAGTCCTCGACTTACGACCGGTTGGGGGGTTGCAGCATTAAAAAGTTTGAGAACCACTGTCTTAGACTGTCCAGCCACAGGCCATGACCTCAGGGGAACTTGGGCAGAGCACTGAAGGCTTCTACAGGACCTCCAACTCTCAAAGGCATTTGGGAGTTCTAGTTTGGGTTGGAGAAGAAAAGCTGTGAGAAAAGATGACTGTGCTTACCTATCCACTTGTCAGTAGAATTCCACCTTTTAAAGCATGTTCCTTCATCAGGTGGACATTTCTGAAACTCTCTACAAATGAAAGTGGGGCATGTGTAACAGTTCGTGGTGTATCCTGGATGAAAGAAATAAAACATAGAAATCTTACTTTGATATTTATTTTTCTATTCTTGTAATCTTGTTATATATTAGATGATAGATTGTTTAATAGAAAGATCAGTTGTGAAAATTTCCCTAGAAAGATTAGAATAGATTAGAATAGAACAGGATAGAATAGAATAGAATAGAATAGAATAGAATAGAATAGAACCGAATAGAACAGGAATAGAATAGAAAATATGGAATGGAATGGTGGAGTGGAGTGGAGTGGAGTGGAATGGAATGGAATAGAATAGAATAACAGAATAGAATATATGGAATGAAATAGAATAGAATAGAATAGAATAGAATAGAATAGAAAATATGGAATGGAATGGAATAGAATAGAAAATATGGAATGGAATGGAATAGAATAGGAATAGAATAGAAAATATGGAATGGAATGAAATGGAGTGGAGTGGAATGGAGTGGAATAGAATAGAATAGAACAGAACAGGAATAGAATCGAAAATATGGAATGGAATGAAATGGAATGAAATAGAATAGAATAGGAATAGGAATAGGAATAGGAATAGAATAGAATAGAATAGAGCTGAAAGGGACCCTGGAGGTCTTCTAGTCCAGCCCCTCCCCACTGAAGCAGGAGAACCGAGATCAAATGGTCTAGAAATAGGAAACTAGTCCCAATTTAGGCATCAAAGCTCACTTAGGCACGTTCTTTCTCTCTCCCTCTCCCTCTCCCTCCCCCCTCTCTCTCCAACCTACCTCACAGGGTTGTTGCTGTGGAGAAAATAGGAGGAAGAAGTAATAGGTTTCTTCTTTCCCTTCGGTGATGACTAAATAGCAATAGCACTGAGACTTTTATACCTCTTCACAGGACTTTACAGCCCTTTCTAAGCAGTTTACAGAGTCAGCATATTATGCTCAACAATTTGGGTCCTCAGTTTACCAGCCTCGGAAAGGACGGAAGGCTGAGTCAACCTTGACCCAGTAAGGATCGAACTGCCAAACTGCTGGCAGTTGGCAGTCGGCAGAATTCGCCTGAAATACTCTAACCACTGTGCCACCATGCCTGGGATAAAACCTGGGATTTAAAAAAAAAATATTGTCTTCTGAAACAGGCCATAAAATATAAGCAAATGGAAACTTCAGAGTTTGGTTTCTGTCTGGAAGCTAAGCAGGGTTAGGGTCGGTTAATCCTGGGATGGGAGACCCCCAGAGTTGAATGATAGATTGAGGACTCTAGGACATCCCAGCAGCAACAACCAATCTCAGGTTGATGTTGAGGAATGTGCAGATTTGACTTGAAGGAGGCATGACCAATCCCCTTTGGCCGTATCCTCCGAAATACTGAATGGTGGCAAAGCCAGAGAGAGGCGAACGGATGGCTAAGAAAAGGAAACATTTTTCATTTCATTGCCAGGGATTCATTTCATGGCAGAATTCGCTATGCAGATGAACCTCTCCTTTCAGAGGCAGTCTATCCCAGAGGGCCAGCCTGGAACAGCTATGGGCTTCTTTCCAAATGGAGAATTCCACTTTCCCCCCTGAAGGCTCCATGGACCCTCCTTATGCAGAGCAAAACAGTGAGAAAGACCCAACAACAGAGTGGACCACAACTATCGTACCTCCCTCTGTCTCTTTGTTTTTGGTTTAATTGTCACCCAAGATCAAAGCTTGACAGCCTTACCTGGCTCCAGGTACACGAATGCCACCACCCCCAGGATCAACAGCAGAGTTTTCATCTTGCAATCTCCTCTTCAGCCTGCAAAATGTAGCCCAGGAGAGCAGCGAGCGCTTATTTATACCTCTCTGAGATGATATCCTTTGGGGGGCTGGATATCTAGGATCAAGAGAGAAGAACAGGGAGACTCAGGAGAAAAGGGGAAGGGCAGGGGGTGAGGCCTTTTTCGCCCGACATCAAAACGGAAACTGGATCCGACCAGGTGATGAACCAAGCGGTCCAGGTCTTCAAGGCAAACATGACCGTTCTGTGTGCAAAACCTGGGCACCTGGACAAGTGGCATCTCTTCCTGTATTTACACAAGATTATACAATTGTTACATAATGCACAATTAAAAAAAACATCTCTCTGCAAAGTTCAGGGCCTTATTATTATTATTTTTTATTTGTGCTTTGATTCACCAACTGGGCAACTTGTCTGCATCTTCTAACCCTCTCAGGTTGCGACTGTGGATCTGCCTTCATTCAAGGAACATGGCCTCCTTGGAGCAGATCTGAGCAAGAGGGGTTCTCTCCAAAACTAGCCTGTGGACTAAAGGATTCACATGATCCAAAAGTCAGGATAGACAAGGAAGATGGACACAGGGTTGGTGAGACACGGCAGAAGGGTTTCTGGTAGAAAAGTAGCAGCAGGAACAGCAGGACAGATAATTCCATGGGAGGCCTTGAGTCATAGATCAACAATTCCTGCAAAGAAAAGCTCTTTTTACTCAAGAGAGTAAAACCACACATTCTTTAAACCAGTGGTTCTCAACCTTTCTAATGCCGCGACCCCATAATACAGTTCCCCATGTTGTGGTGACCCCCAACCACTTATACATCACCGGGTGCCAGGGGCATGGCCAAAGAAAAGGGGGAAAAAATGGCGGACAGCCTTGTTTGGCGACCCCTGTGAAATGGTCGTTCGACCCCAAATGGGGTCCCGACCCACAGGTTGAGAACCACTGCTTTAAACCTTTGGGTGTCCAGAACAGAATACTCTTGTCACCCACAAAAACTTTGTCCTTGATAGGTGTTCATAGAGAAGATCTTCGGAGATTCACGCCTGGCTTTCATTGTGCCCTACATGGGCCCAATCCCTTGGTTCATCTACAGGTCAAGAGTATGCTGAGACATTCTCATTGGAGATATCTAAACTGACCATTAGAAAGTTAATCAGGAAATTGTTTTTGTCAGACACCCAAGGGGAGGTGAGAGGATCAAGTGGGGAAAAACAACTTCTTAATGCTTTGAGAAAACCCAGAGAACCAGGGGAGAAGGAGAACCTTCCAGGTCTGTATTGTGTAGTTGCCTGCTGAAAAAGCACCTTTGGGACAAACCGTGTCCTGGATGACTGAGAACTTCCATAGACATTTAGCTGAGCACTTTGGGATGGACCCCCTTCACATGGTGCAGGAGCATGAATGGATTTCCAGAAAACATTGCAGACGCCAGGAACCATTTGCGCTTCAGTTTGAGATGCAGACAACACAGACTCATCCCCAACAGCCTGCGCCTGTCTTCAACGGGGAAGGGGCCCAGGGCAGAAGACATCCTGGAGCCAAGAAGGTGCCACACCCATTTGTACCACTCAGGTGACCCTGAGGACACAGGTAAACCTCCAAGTGGCCTCAATGACTCTCTAAAAGAAGGCAAAGGACCAGCTGTCTGCAAGGAGTATAAATCCTTCCACTCCCCACCATCCGGTCAAAGCTGAAGAAGCTTCTTGGATGAGAAGCGAAACATCTTCAAAGAAAAACAAGAAAGTCCAGTGGCCTCCTGAAAAAGCACCTTTGGGACAACCAGGACCTGGATGAGAGAGAATCTCCATAGACATTCCCCCAATGTATTATGCTAGTTCTTCTGCTTCCTTGGGATTTGCAGTGTTTAGGCGTAACACAATATCTCACTCTACTTTCCTTCAGACAAAGCATCTTTTTTGTGATCTACTGATCTTCAGTTTCATACAGCTCATTGTATCATGCAGTCCCTTGAGGATGAAAATGGAGGGAGACTGAAAAACCACAACCTACCCCTTGGTAAGCTAGAAAAAGGTGGAATAGACAACATTACCACCAGATGGATCTGTACCGGGCGGGCAAACCGTACTCAATGAGTAGTCCTCAACGGCACTACATCAACATGGAGAGGAGTAAGTAATGGGGTACCACAAGGTTCCGTCTTAGGCCCAGCACTCTTCAATATCTTCATTAATGACTTAGATGAGAGAATTGAAGAGGAACTCATCAAATCTGCAGATGACACCAAACTGGCAGGAGTAGCCAACACCCAAGGTAACAAACTCAGGATCCCAAAAGATCTTGACGAACTTAACCAATGGGCCCTATCCAACAAAATGAGATTCTATTCTATTCTATTCTATTCTATTCTATTCTATTCTATTCTATTCTATTCTATTCTATTCCATTCCATTCCATTCCATTCCATTCCATTCCATTCCTTGCCATATATTCTATTCCTCTCCATATTTTCTATTCTATTCTATTCTATTCTATTCTGTTCTGTTCTGTTCTGTTCTGTTCTGTTCTGTTCTGTTCTGTTCTATTCTATTCTATTCTATACGAACAGGATTGTGTTGCAACAGTGAATCTTTTTAGCCAGGAACCAAATGAGTGAATGACAGCTTATGCCTATAGACAAGCTAATAAGGACAATACGGACAGTACAATAATTTTGCACGGTGTGCAATGTTTTCATATCTCTTTTAAGCTGCTTCTGCTCCTACTGGAGCAGAGGGATAGACTAGAAGACCTCTAAGGTCCCTCCCAGCTCTGCTCTATTCTATTTTATTCTATTCTATTCTGTTCTATTCTATTCTATTCTATTCTATTCTATTCTATTCTATTCTATTCTATTCTATTCTATTCTATTCTATTCCATTCCATTCCATTCTATTCTATTCTAGAGTGGTCTCCTGCATGAAAGACAGCATATACGTGACGGATTTAACATTATCAAAAATAAAATTAAAAATACTCAGCAGATTAGCATGAAAAGATACTACCTGGAATATGAGTATGGGTGTGTTGCAATTGTGAACTTTTTTTTAACAAGGAACCAAATGAGGGAATGCCCCGTTTCTGTTCACAGCTTATGCCTATAGGGAAGCTAATAGGGACAGGACAATAATTTTGTGCGGTGTGCAATGTTTGCATTGCCTAAGCAAAGACAAGTCCACGTCTGTGTTAAACCCCACTATATTTGAAAGTACACCAAGACTTTTTAGCCAAGAAACAATGGAGGGAAACTAATCAAGGAGAGAAGCAACCTGGAATTAAAGAGAAACAGTGAGAACCATTAACCAGTGGAACGGCTTGCTTTCAGATGTTGTGGGTGCTCCATCACTGAAGTTGTTTAAGAAAAGACTAGACGGCCACCTATCTGAAATCTATAGACTCTCCTGATGGAGCAGGGGATTGGACTAGAAGACCTCCAAGGTCCCTTCCAGCTCTAGTCTGATTCTGATAAGACCTTAAAATAGGCACTTGATTAGTAATAGTAGTAAAGTTGGAAGGGACCTTGGAGGTCATCTAGTCCAACCCCCTGCTCAGGCAGGAAACCCTACACCATTTCGGACAAATGGCTGTTCAGTCTCTTCTTAAAAACTTCCAGTGATTGATTGATTGACGGAAAACTTTGCATATGTTAGAGAGCAATTTTTACAGTTATCATTGTGCCCGAAATGAGGATGAGATGCACAATGATCTCTGCACCAACTAAAATTCCATTATATCCCCCCACACATACATTGTTTTTCCCCACTGCCCTCTCCCTATGGATATTTTGAGTGATTGAGCTAATAACCCTTCGCTAAAAAGTCTTGGTGCACCTCCAGATACAACGAGGTTTAAGACTAGACTAGACTAGACTAGACTAGACTAGACTAGATTAGAATAGAATATGGAATGGAATGGAATGGAAGAAATAGACTAGACTACCACTAGACTAGACTAGACTGGACTGGACTGGAATGGAGTGGAGTGGAGTGGAGTAGAGTAGAGTAGAGTAGCATAGAATAGAAAACATGGAGTGGAATGTGGTGGAATAGGATAGGGATGGGATGGGATGGGATTAGATAGAGTAGAGTAGAGTAGAGTAGAGTAGAGTAGAGTAGAGTAGAATAGAATAGAATAGAATAGAATAGAATAGAATAGAATAGAAAATATGGAATGGAATGGAATAGAATAGAATAGAATAGAATAGAATAGAATGGAATGGAATGGAAAAAATAGAATAGAATAGAATAGAATAGAATAGAATAGAATAGAATAGAATAGAATAGAATAGAATAGAATAGAGCAGAGTTGGGGGGACCTTGGAGGTCTTTTAGTCCAGCTCTCTGCTCTGGCGTGAGCAGAAGCAGCTTAAGAGAGATATGCAAACATTGCACACCGTGCAAAATTATTGTACTGTCTGTATTGTCCCTATTAGCTTGCCTACAGGCATAAGCTGTCATTCACTCATTTGGTTCCTGGCTAAAAAAGTCCACTGTTGCAACACAATCCTGTTCGTATTCCGGGAAGTATCTACTGAAAATCAGTAGATCACAAGAAAGATGCTTTGTCTGACATATTGCGTTACACATAAATGCTGCACATCATGAGGATGTAGAATAATACGTTGGGGTTTGTGCATGAAGATATCTTTGAGTGTGACATAGTGCTGGAACAGTGGTTCTCAGCCTGTGGGTCGCGACCCCATTTGGGGTCGAACGACCATTCCACGGGGGTCGCCAAACAACGCAGTCCGCCATTTTTCCCCCTTTTCCTTAGCTGTGCTACTCCCTTTTATTCTATTGGCTTTTGAAAGCCAATAGAATAGACTCTCTTGAATAGAGTCTAATTCTATTGGCTTTCAAAAGCCAATAGGAATTGTCCAGGCTGTCTCTGCCCTGCTGAGCCCGCCAAAAGTCCCATTCTGCAAACGGTGCTGCACCAGTTGAGTAGTCCTCGACTTACGACTGGTTGAGTAGTCCTCGACTTACGACCGGTTGGGGGTCGCGGCATTAAAAAGGTTGAGAACCACTGTGCTAGAAGGACAGAAGGTTTTATCTAGATATTTATTTATGAAAATGTTTAAACCACCCCCATGGTCAAAACAAAAG